GTAAAACCCTGTATAACTCTACTGTAAAAACTCGTAACCTGGTTAAAAGTAAGTTTCCTTAATATATACATTATTAATAAATTACTGTAATTTCAATGGTTAAAAAAGTGAAAATCTGTAACCTTGTTAACAACAAGTTTCTTTAAACAAAAAATATATATATCGTCACTTCAAAAAGGTAAAAAATTTGCAAACATGCAACGGTAAAAATTGGTAACCTGGTTAACATCAAGATTCCCTAATATTTATCACAGTATTAAAAAATTACTGTAATTTCAACAGTTAAAATTGTATTTAAACAATACATTAACTTAGTTAGAAAATAAATTAAACTGGCGATATGTATTTTCAATAATTTTACATTGTATAATTTTTTTAATATGAATATTATAATTGTCATTTAAATATTTTAAAATACAATATTTAATTAAGATAAATCAATTTATTTTGTAAATCAAATGTAAAAACAATTAAATGTAAATAAAATAAAAAGAATTTTAATAAAATTATTTAAGTTTAATTTAATAATTATTTGAATAAAATGGTAATATTTGTTTTTATTGTATACATTTTAAAAGCATAACTATATTCAATATTTTAAAGTACTCAATGAAACATTTTTTTATTAAATGTAATACTAATAAACTTTATAAAATAAATTGATTTAAAACAATTTATTATATTAAATGTAAAAATAAATGACATTTTATTTAAAAATAAATGAAACTGTAAAGAACGAAATGCAGTAATTTACCATAAAACATTGACATTTATTTTACGTTCCTACTGTATTTATTTTTTTATCTTTTTATTAGGTTCATTATAGGTCAGACAATAAAGTATACATAATACATATAGATATACGCACTGAAATAATTCACCAAACAAGAAATTATCAGGAAAATATAATTATACACTAAATAAGTATATAAATAAAAGGTAAAATACCACATCTAAACACAAAGATATACAAACATAAGATAACATAAAAATAAGAATAATAAAATACAAACAAAATAATAAATAAAAAATAAATAAATTATACAAAGAAAAGAAGAAAAAATGCAATTAAGATATATAATATATATATATATATATGTGTCTTCTTAAAAACTGGAAAGGGAAATTTGGAAAAGGGCTACAGACTTTCTGGACCTGTTCTGGCTTTTGTTTTATTGCGAGAAAAGAGCCTGTAAGAAATCCAAAAGCCATTTTTGATAAGGAGGAGGAGCTGCTGACTTCTTCCTACTGCATTTTAACTGTACTGTAAATTTGCACCAACAAGAGCTGCCGGGTTTTTATTTACTGTAAATTTTACAGATTTTTTCCCTTTATTACAGTGTGTTAAATGCTCTGCCATTTATCTGGAGAAACCAAGTCAAGCAGAAGCGATGAAGTAACATTTTTAGCTTCCTGTGAAACTTCCTCGCAGGCTGTGAAAAACCGCTGATACCTGCCCGTTTCCTGCCACCGCTGCGGATCAATGCGCTTTTGTGTTTCAAACATCCGTTTCCGACTGGACTCGCTGTGCTATTAAAGCTCAACGACACCTGTGTGTGTGTCCATTTTCCTTTCCAACTATAAATAAATCAACGCTGATGAAACCATTAGAGAGAGTTCATGAGGTGATGAACCATATATGGTAAAACTACGCTGACATTCATTACAATAGGGCTGCACAATATAACGTTTCAGCATCCATATTACAATGTGCGCATCCGCAATAGTCACATCGCAAAGATATGCAAAGTCCAGTCTGAATTATAGTTAACTGGATAGATGGAGAAATGGATGGATAGATGGATAGATAGATAGATAGATAGATAGATAGATAGATAGATAGATAGATAGATAGATAGATAGATAGATAGATAGATAGATAGATAGATAGATAGATAGATAGATAGATAGATAGATGGACTGATGGATAGATTACCGGATGGACGGACGGACAGATGGATAGATGGATGGACAGATAGATAGACTGATGGATAGATAGATGGACAGATGGATAGATGGATGGATAGATAGATGGACTGATGGATAGATTACTGGACAGACGGACGGACGGACGGACGGACGGATGGACAGACAGACAGACAGACAGATAGATAGATAGACGGATGGACGGATGGATGGATGGATAGATGGAAGGATGGAAGGATGGACGGATGGATAAATGGACGGATGGACAGATAGACGGATGGACAGATAGACAGATAGATAGATAGATAGATAGATAGATAGATAGATAGATAGATAGATAGATAGATAGATAGATAGATAGATAGATAGATAGATAGATAGATAGATAGATAGATAGACGGATGGACGGATGGACGGATGGACGGATGGACGGATGGATAGACAGACAGACAGACAGACAGACAGACAGACAGACAGACAGACAGACAGACAGACAGACAGACAGATAGATAGATAGATAGATAGATAGATAGATAGATAGATAGATAGATAGATAGATAGATAGATAGATAGATAGATAGATAGATAGATAGATAGATAGATAGATAGATAGATAGACGGATGGACGGATGGACGGATGGACGGATGGATAGACAAATAGACAGACAGACAGACAGACAGACAGACAGACAGACAGACAGACAGACAGACAGACAGACAGACAGACAGACAGACAGACAGACAGACAGACAGATAGATAGATAGATAGATAGATAGATAGATAGATAGATAGATAGATAGATAGATAGATAGATAGATAGATAGATAGATAGATTAGATAGATAGATAGATAGATAGATAGATAGATAGATAGATAGATAGATAGACGGATGGACGGATGGACGGATGGATAGAAAAATAGACAGACAGACAGACAGACAGATAGATAGATAGATAGATAGATAGATAGATAGATAGATAGATAGATAGATAGATAGATAGATAGATAGATAGATAGATAGATAGATAGATAGACGGATAGACGGATGGACGGATGGACGGATGGATAGAAAAATAGACAGACAGACAGACAGACATATAGATAGATAGATAGATAGATAGATAGATAGATAGATAGATAGATAGATAGATAGATAGATAGATAGATAGATAGATAGATAGATAGATAGATAGATAGATAGATAGATAATTAAGTACAACTCAAAAAATTGCTTATTCAATTATTTTTCTCACTTCAAAACTTCAGGGCAAAGCATAAAACAAATATTTTAGTATATTTACTGACCTAACATTTACAATATAATACACATCCCTAATAAACCCAAAATAATAATAATAAAAAAAGTATTATCATCAAGTATATCTTAATAGTTTACATAGCTGTGCGTGTGTGTATATATGCTGGGCTGTTTTGTAGTTTTCTTGATATTTGAAAACTATCAGCATCAGGATATATATGTATATGTCTGTGCATACATATAAAAACTTTTTTTAAAACACTTTTTTTGGACTTTGAGATCATCTGCAGTCTCTAATCCCTAAAGCATCACCTCAGATTCACTTCCTTCCCCCTTTTTTATCTATATTGACAAATCAAAGTTTCTTGACACTTTCCAACCAGACCCCAAACAGTGCTTTTAATTGGCCTCATTTTTATAATGACCTTTACAAATGACCCGTGTGACCCCAACAAAACCAATTCATCTGCCTTTATCTCAATCCCAAACTCCTCTAATCTAGCACTGACTAGATGGATTATTGTTACTCACAGACTAATGACGGCGTTCAGCATCGAAACGAGCTTCATCACCATTAATCTTCATAAACTCCACTCTCGATCCACACATTAGCATCTCAATCCACTAATACATCAGATCGCTTTAATGTAGATTGATACGATTTAAGCCTGTAGGTTTCATCCGTGTTCGATAATGAGAAATAGATTATGCCTCATTTAAGGCTCGAGTTTCTAATTTGAGTCGTCGGGATCAATCGGTTCGCGAACATGCCTAAAACAAATCCAAGAAAAAAAATTCAAGAAAAACGGCAATTTAACCACAGTATTTCCCTGACAATTGAGAAAATGATTGATATTAAGTGCTGGGATTAATTGTTTTAAGATTCACGCACTGTCAAACATGTTTACATTCCCTCAGATTTATTTCGCGCCCCAACACCAGAAGAGTTATAAACTCACCTCAGGGAGTAAAAACCGTCGTAAATTGTTCACATATCAAGATGATCGTCGTTGATGCGAGTGTAAATGTCGGTTTAATAGAGTTCTGTAGTCAATTAAATTGAGAGAAGCGATTCCTCTTTCATAATTACATGGACGTCTGATTATTTCGCGAACGAGTTGTTCTGTTGAGTCGATTCACTTACTGATTCAGAACGGTGATGCGAAGTTGAAGAAAGATTACGGGGTTAAGCGAAAACCAACATTTAGAAACTATAGAAAACAATAATAAATCAAAAGCAATCGTTTTTCTTATATTCATTTATTTTATCTGTTTTGTATAACAATATTTTTGTTGTTTTTATTATTCTGACATGGTCTGTTTCTGTGTAGCTAAACCTCTTTATTTTTATTAAGCTTTTATTTCCTTATATTTTAATTAATCTCCATGTTCACAATTGCATTTGTTTTACCTCTTTACGTAAATTAAATAAAATATAAACATACCGAGTGAAAGATTCATTCAAACGAATCGACTCACTGAATCAATGACTCCTCAACGCCAAGTTAAAGCATTTTCATGCGCTTCTTATAATCTATCAAGTCCGCGAGGCAAATGTGTGCATTCTGAAGTCATTTACATATCGAACACGGATTGTAGTGTGTTATAATGTGTCAAGAGTGGGTCATGTCTGTGCATTGTAACGCAGAGAGAGTAACATGCCGCTACACGGACGCTCAGATGTGTTTGTAACACACACCCATACCCACACTCGCTTTAATGACTCGCTCTCTTCACAACTACAGCAATGCATCTTCCAGAAACATCAACATCATGCATGAGGAGGAAAAGCTCGACGCAGAAAGTTGAACTCACCATCGCAGGGAAAACAGAGTCCGCCTTCAATACCAGAAGCGCTGCTGTGAGCAAACACACTTGAGCAAATCTCTGCGTGCTCCACTGAATTCAAACACACACACACACACTCTCGAGGAGCAAGAGAGAGAGGCGCGCTCTCGTGGACTGAATGAAACACGAGCTCTTTGAGCATGCGTGTGTGTGTGTGTGTGTGTGTGTGTGTGTGTGTGTGTGTGTGTGTGTGTGTGTGTGTGTGTGTGTGTGTGTGTGTGTGGTGCCAGGCGCTGAGGGGATCCTAAAATCAGCAGTTCACACACAGACATACAACGTTTTTAATTCCAATGGTTTAAAACTTGCCCTAACATACAAAAACGAAACAAATAAAAAAATATTTTTTAAAATATGACATGTAAATAAAAAATAGGAATATTCGCATTTACAATGTTCAGCTGAATGCATGTTTATTAATACTATGATTACTGTTGTTTATTTGCAAATCAATACTTATTCCAATAATGACAATGATATTTACAGTAACAATTCTTCATTTTAACAGTAAAATTTGACATCAGTGCACTCAGAAATAAAGGAACAAAATAACAATAATAATTCCTTACATTGATATAGCACTTTTCTGGGCACTCAAAGCACTTTACACATAGGGGGATCTCCTCATCCACCACCAGTGTGCAGCATCCACCTGGATGACCATTTTGCACCAGACTGCACACCACACACCAGCTGATTGGTGGAGAGGAGATATGGGGAGGGTTAGAAGGCCATGGATGCCGGGTTAAACCCCTACTCTTTTTCGAAGGACATCCTGGGATTTTTAACGACCACAGAGAGTCAGGACCTCGGTTTAACGCCTCATACAAAAGACGGCGCTCAGAGTCCCCGTCACCAGGGCCGGCGCGTCCATAAAGGCGACCTAGGCGGCCACTTAAGGCGCCAGAATAGAGAGGGCGGCGTCCCCGAAACAACCCTCGCCAACCGCGCCCTCATTCGCGTCTAGGGTGGCAGAATAGAGAGAGCGGCGTCACCGAAATTACCCTCGCCACCCGCGCCCACAGTTATATCCGCCTTTGGGGTGGCAAAATAGAGAGGGTGGCGTCCCCTAAACTACCCTCACCACCCGCGCCTCAGTTATATCAGCGTCTAGGCTGGCAGAATAGAGAGGGTGGCGTCCCCTAAACTACCCTCACCACCCACGCCTCAGTTATATCAGCGTCTAGGCTGGCAGAATATAGAGAGCGGCGTCCCCGAAACTACCCTCGCCACCCGAGCCCTCATCCGCGTCTAGGGTGGCAGAATAGAGAGAGCGGCGTCACCGAAATTACCCTCGCCACCCGCACCCACAGTTATATCCGCCTCTGGGGCGGCAGAATAGAGAGGGCGGCATCCCCTAAACTAGCCTCACCACCCACGCCTCAGTTATATCCGCGTCTAGGCTGGCAGAATAGAGAGGGCGGTGTCCCCTAAACTACCCTCACCACCCGTGCCTCAGTTATATCCGCGTCTAGGCTGGCAGAATAGAGATATTTAGGGTTGAGGCCGGCGTGACCGTCCTTTGCCTAGAGCGGCAGTTCAGCTTGCTCCGGCCCTGTCCGTCACTATACTGGGTGAAGTCTAGATGGGATATGCGGCCAGCCGGAAGTGTGATATGCACATTAATATAGCAGCATTTTTTTTATGAAGCTGTATAATTAATATTTTTACAGTACTGTGACGGTTGGGTTTAGGGTTGGGGTGGGGGTAGACGTTAATAAAATGCAATAAATGGGAAATTTAATAAATAAGTCTTGTTAACTTCAGGCCGCAAACGTGTCCGATCTAGGAACAACCACTATACTGGGGCATTAGGGCCCATAAAGGTTGAGCGCCCCCTGCTGGCCTCACTTACACCACTTCTGGCAGCAACCTAGCTTTCCCATTTGGTCTCCCATCCAGGTATTAACCAGGCACAACCCTGCTTAGCTTCAGTGGGCGACCATGTGAGAGTTGCAGAGAGCTAGCTGCCGGCTAAATAATCTGTCACTTTGTACTAAACAGGTGGACATTAGTACCATTAGGGTTTAGTTTTGTACATTGTAAGGTTCAATTGTGTACCCTAAATGTACTTTCAGGTACACATTTGTACTTTTTGGCTATTAATTTGTACCTTTAATGACCTGTTCAGAACAAAAATGTACCTTTTGAAAAGGTGCCACCACAGTGACAGATTTTGTACCTTTATTTTTAAGAGTGTGGCTCAGTGGTTATCACTGTGGACTCATAGCAAGAAGGTGGCTGGTTCGAGCCTCACCTGGATCAGTTGGTATTTCTGTGTAGTTTGCATGCCCTCCTGTGTTGGTGTGGATTTCCTCCAGGTGGAAATATAAGTTGGAGGTTCATGCCGTTGTGGAGACCCTTGTTAAATAAGAGACTAAGCCGAAGGAAAATGAACAAATGAATACTTTGACATCATACCAATCTTTATATTTAATTGTAACTTAACTATATGTATTACAACTGGCAAAATTTACAAAACTGTATCACCATTTCCAAAATAACAAATCATTTATTGTTCATTTAAAGTTACCAACATATTAATTGTAGCAGAGCAAGTAAAAGAAGCAAACAATCCTTCCAAAATAACAGACAATCAAAGGCAGTGTGGTAGCTCAGTGGTTGGCACTGTCGTCTCACAGCAAGAAGGTCTCTGGTTCAAGCACCGGCTAGGTCAGTTGGTGTTTCTATGTGGAGTTTGCATGTTCTCCTCGTGTTGACTCGTGGGTTTCCTTCTGGTGCTCCGGTTTCCCCCATAGTCCAAACACATGCGCTATAGAGGAATTGATCAACTAAACCAGGGGTCACCAAAATTGTTCCTGGAGGGCCGGTGTCCCTGCAGCATTTAGCTCCAACTTGCTTCAACACACCTGCCTGGATGTTTCAAGAATACCAAGTAAGAGCTTGATTAGCTTGTTCAGGTGTGTTTGATTAGGGCTGGAGCTAAAATCTGCAGAACACTGGCCCTCCAGGAACAATTTTGGTGACCTCTGAACTAAACTGTCTGTAGTATATGAGTATGTGTGTAAATGAATGTGTATGGGTGTTTCCCAGTATTAGATTGCAGCTAAAAAGGGCATCCACTGTGTAAAGCATATGCTGGATAAGTTAGCGGTTCATTCTGATGTGGCGACCCCAGATTAAGTCGAAGGAAAGTTAATTAATAAATACTTGGCAATCAACAACTACTAAATAAGGATGGTTCGCTGTTTTTACAAAAGCAGCAATGTTTAAAGGACAAGACTAGATGACTAGAAAAGTTCATTTAATTCAACAACAACGACAAAATAAAACTAATTTAGGCAGCAAGATTTTTATTTGATTCTCTTACAATATTTTTATGCAAGAAAGATCATTTACAATAAATCACACACTGTAAAAATGCTGGGTTAATCCGGGGTCGCCACAGCGGAATGAACCGACAACTTATCCAGCAGCGATAAGTTTTTTCCAGCCGCAACCCATCTCTGGGAAACATCCACACACACACTCATACACTACAGACAATTTAGCTTACCCAATTCACCTGTACCGCATGTGTTTGGACTGTGGGGGAAACCAGAGCACCCGGAGTAAACCCACGCGAAGGCAGGGAGAACATGCAAACTCCACACAGAAACACCAACTGAGCCAAGGATCGACCAGAAACGCCAACTGAGCCAAGGATTGAACCAGCGACATTCTTGCTGTGAGGTGACAGCACTACCTATTGCACCACTGCTTCGCCCTTTGTTTGGACAACATGAAGAAATTAAAATAACTTATTCATTCATTTATTAATTTTTTTTGTTCGGCTTAGTCCCTTTATTAGGGGGTCACCACAACAGAATGAACCACCAACTTATCCAGCACATGTTTCACACAGCAGATGCCCTTCCATCCGCAACCCAACACTGGGAAACACTCATACACTCTTGCATTCACACACGGCCAATTTAATTAATCAATTCCACTAAAGCGCAAGTGTTTGGACTTATTCCACCATGTCGCCCTAAGTTAACTTATTAATTTTTACAAATTTAAGCTGATAAAATATAAGAACATAAAATTAAAAACATTAAGTTGTCCCCATATCCCAGTACTGGGCTGCAGCTGGAAGGTACGGTGGCCGAGAGAGCTTAAAGCACTGCAATTTATGAAAGCACATGCCAATATAAAAAACACCTGCAATTAAAGAAACGATCGTCATCAATTTGACAGCACACGTGTTGCAAATTCCCACAACACAAACAACTGCAGAAATGCACAGTAAATTGGTCACAACACAAACAACTTAAAAAGCTTGCTGCAATTAGTTATAACACGTGCAAATATCTAGGTAACACAACGGAAATGTTTCAAGGGGACCCAAAAACATGACAGACCCTGCTGAGATATGGATGTGTTAATATGCCCAGTGATGTAATTGGTGGTCTTTGAAAGGTGAGTTCATTCATTCATTTTCTTGTCGGCTTAGTCCCTTTATTAATCCGGGGTCGCCACAGCGGAATGAACCGCCAACTTATCCAGCAAGTTTTTACGCAGCGGATGCCCTTCCAGCCGCAACCCATCTCTGGGAAACATCCACACACACTACGGACAATTTAGCCTACCCAAATCTCCTGTATCACATGTCTTTAGACTGTGGGATAAACCGGAGCACCCGGAGGAAACCCACGCAAACGCAGGGAGAACATGCAAACTCCACACAGAAATGCCAACTGAGCCGAGGTTCGACCCAGTGATCTTCTTGCTGTGAGGTGAATGTGCTACCCACTGCGTCGCCTGAAAGGTGAGTTGTTGTTTTTTTTATCCTGATTACACGACATAATCATAAGTCCTGGGGCCCTAAGCAGCCGCTTACCTTGCTTATTGGTTAAAGCCACCCCTGCACACACACACTACAGCTAGTTTAGTTTATCAATTCCTCTATAGCGCATGTGTTTGGACTGTGGGGGAAATCGGAGCACCCACACCAACACGGAGAGAACATGCAAACTCCACACAGAAATGACAACTAACACAGCTGGGGCTTGAACTGAGGGCTTGACTGTGCTACCCACTGCGCCACCATGACACTCTCACTTGATCCATTTATTCATTTTGGCTTAGTCTCTTTATTAATCTGGGGTCGCCACAGCGGAATGAACCACCAACTTATCCAGCATATGTTTTAGGCAGCGGATGCCCCTATCGGTGAATCGGGTAAGCTAAAATTGTCCGTATTGTGTGCGTGTGAATGAGTGTGTGTGGATGGCGGTTCATTCCGCTGTGGCGACCTCAGATTAATAGAGGAACTAAGCCGAAAATAAAATAAATGAATGAATGAATGACAAAGCATATTTGTATTGTCGAAGAAAGTCGATTAATATAAATTCTCTTTTTGTTGTAAACAAGATACAGCTTTAATAAAAACAAAAAATCCCACAAAATATTCATATATACAATTAAAAGAATTTAGGGCAATGGATTCACATCTAAATGTGATCACTTGAGCTAATCAAAAATAAATCAGTTGCTTTAAACAATAATTTTTTAAGTTTGTGACAGTACAAAACACATTGAGCTTCTGTTTAATTCGCATACACTGGCCTGTGTGAATTACCTTAACATTTTACATTGGTCAAAACAAATATAGTTGAGCTCTTAATCAAAAACATTCACATTAAACTATGATTTGAACTTAAAATATATTTGAAAAATAAAATAAAAAATTTTAAGAGACTATTTAATTGAATAAATACTGCTTGCAAGTTATTTTACTGTATAGCTAATTTATATAAGCAGTTTGAACAAACAAAGTGCAGCAAAGTATCCACGTTTAATGTAATATAATCACAGCAGTTCACGTAGCTACATTACCTTCAAAGGACGAGCGCGGTGACGTCACGCGCGGGCGCAAGGTGTTTTAATTGTTGCTCGTAAAAAATGCGCCTCATTACCACACGAATAGATGATGAGCTGTCACGGCATGTCAATTTCCTTTAATGTCCTCTGCTACTTGTTAAATATGCGGGGGTCCGACTCGAGGGAGGCCCTATATAAAGCGCCCGGGACTCCCGAGCTGTCATTCATTCTGACCGCGCATCATGCACGCGCTCGGAGTCGCGCGCCTGGCTTGCTACTGCCAGCTGCTGCTGCTCGGAGTGTTCGGAAAGCACACGCGTTATCGTCACAATAATTATAACAGCTTGAGGAATATGTCACACCGCATGCATCTGCCCACGTACATGATGCATCTCTATCGGCATTACAAGATGAACCAGACGCGCATACCCGCGGAGAGCCTCGAGCACGAGCACGCAGACACAATCAGGAGCATCATGTCTAAAAGTAAGGCTGTTTTTATTTTTTTGTAGGGTTTTAAATGTTTTACTTTAGCTGTGAGAGTGAGTGAAGTGTGTGTATAAAGCTCAATGGCGTTTTCAGCAGTGCGGTATTTATAAATAATCAATAAAAAATATAATATAAACCTTAAATACAAAGCAAAAACAGCTATAGAAAATATAAAGAAACCTTAAGTAGCCCATATTAAAAAATGTAAATAAATTAGACATATATTAGAGTGATTGACGGTACAATAATAGTAAAATACCTGAACTGAATAAGTGAAATTAAATAGAAAGTGGATATGCACTATAAAAATGCAGGGATCCGCACAATTCATTCATTTTGTTCCAACACAAATTAAGTTAACTTAACATTTTTTTACAAATTTATGTGCATTGACCATTAAAAAATTAAGTTTTCCCAACGAAATCTCATGAAATTGTGTTCTTTTACCTCATTTTTATTAAGTAGTTTAAACAAGTTTGATATATTTATATATTTTTGAGAGTGTAAATTGTTTATAAACATTAAAAAATGTTCAGTGGGGGTGCAAAAGTGCATGAAAAAATGTTGATTAAAATCCATAAATGAAATAATTAACATTTAATTAATAACATAGGCCCACTACAACTTATATTTGCATTACTAATGTTTTAAGTCATTGAAATATGTAACGTTGTGCTTTGACACAATATATATTGTCTAATTTTGTCTCATTTATTTGTCTAAATTAAGTCAGTTTTTTATTAAAATAAACAAAATTTGAGAAGAATATTTTGCCATGTAGAAATAAGAAACTGAATTGAATAAAGTTTTAAATAAATAAATATTTTAAATAATATTTTTACTTAATATTAATAAATAATACATTGTAAATAAATATTTAAAATATTTTTATTCGAATAAATACTCAAGTACACATGCTTTGACATTATAAAAAGTACTACTTAATTATATATATATATATATAGGCAATTTTTTATATTTATATTTATATATTTTTAATATTTAATCTGAATAAATAATCAAATAAAGATGCTTTGACATTTTTAAAAAATACTATTTACTAATATATATAATACTAATTTATATATATATATATATATATATATATATATATATATATATATATAATCTTTATTTTTCATTTTTAATCATAATATTGGCTAATAGAATCGTACTATATATTTTTAATCATTTATTATTTAAATCATTTTTATTATATTCATTTTGGAATCATAACTATCAAATAACTCTGTTTTGAGCCGGTCTGCATTGTAAAAAGCTCTCGAGAACTAAAGACGAGCTGAATGAAAGTGTGTGAAGTGTGTCCAATCTGAGCTCCAGACATCCTCAATCCACATCTGCAGTCAGATCTCCTACTGAAGCCGATGTGGATTCGCCTCTGTCGGCCAGACATCTCACACAAACCCCCGGGAAACACCAATCCACATCGGCTTGAGCTCTGCTTCACACCGCGCTGATGAGATTAAAGCTCCAGCTGGAGGTGTCGAGCGCCGTTTCGAGCCCGTGTTTACTCTGAGCGGATTAGCGGAGAGATTTGTTAGCGTATCTCTAATATCAGATCGATACCACGTGATCACACTTTTTGTTTTTGACACCTTTAGCTAATTAATTGCAGATACTAATATTTGATCTTATTTACATGCTAGAAAGAGAGGGGGAGGGGGGAATATAAATGGAATATAATTAATCATGTTTCAGCTTGTGGAGATACTAGCGCATATTTAATATCAGATCGATACCACATGACTTTTCATCACACTTTTTCTTAATGACAACTAATTGATTGTAGATACTAATATTTGATGTAATCTTATTATGTGTGTGAGAATGAGAGTTTATAAAATCAAAGGACTTTTATTATATTTTTTATTTATTATATTATTATAATCAATAAGTCATCAGTCATAGCATTTTAAACTAAGTTAATTATGTTTCAGATTAATTTTACAGTCGTTTTTGATTAGATTAATATATGTTATTAATAATAATAATAATTATTATTTACTTTTTTAGAAAAAAATTATAATTGCAAGGGTAATGATTCTTTATTTTACTTTTATTAATTACAGTATAATATATATATATATATATATACATATATACATACAATTTTAGAGAATTTAGAGAGTTTATCAAATCAAAGATTTACAATAAATAAACAAATAGACTAACAACATATGCATATGTATTATCATTTAAAAGAGAGAGAGTTTAAAAAATCATAAGAGTTCTATTGATATTTTATATTTGATGAAATATTTTATGGCTTTTATTTTGCTATATAAATAGGTTTATGATCGATAAGTCATCAGTCATATCACTTTGAACTAAGTTGATTATGTTCCAAATTAATTTGACAGCTGTTTTAAATAATGTAATATAATAATAATAATAATAATAATAATAATAATAATAATAATAATGTATTATTTACATTTAGAAAAAAAAATTATAATTGCAAGTGTAATGATTATTCTTTTATTAATTATGGTGCAACAAAAAATGGTATTTATTATAATTTTAATTTAGAGAGTTTATAAAATCAAAGATTTTAAATAAACATATAGACAAACAAAATATGTGTATTTATTATCACTTAATGAGAGAGAAAGCGAGAAAGAGAGAGTGTTTATAAAATCATAGGACTTCTATTAACATTTCATTTTTGAATACATTTTTATGGCTTTTATTTTGCAATAAAATAGGTTTATGATCAATAAGTCATCAGTCATAACATCTGGAACTAAGTTAATTATGTTTCAGATTAATTTTACAGCTGTTTTAAATTAATGTAATTTAATAATAATAACAATAATAATTATAATAATAATAATAATAATATAAAAATATGTATCATCACTTTAATTCAGAGAATTTATAAAATTAAAGATTTATAATAAACATATAGACTAACAAAATATTTTTACTTATTATCACTTAATAAAGAAAGAAAGTTTGTAAAATCAAAGAACTTCAATTAATATTTCATATTTTATTAAAAACATATTTTAAATAATAGCTATACGATCAATATGTCATCAGTCTTAATTGTATGGACTGAGTGAATCATGTTTCAACTTGTCTTTTTAAATCAGTTTAATGTATGACAATAATCTAAAATAAAAACTGTTTGTAAAATAAAAAATTAAATAAATACATAAATTAGTAATTAATTAAATAAAAATATATACAAACACGCATATACATACATACATAGACTGTACAAAGGAATATTAATAATAACTAATATTAAGAGTCTAGAGCAGTGGTGTTGAAGTGAGCTTGTTTAAGATTGAGTTGTGCAGCTGAAGCAGGACAGCAGCTCTATTAAACACAGCAGAGACACTCATTAGATGAAGCACAGCTATTAGTTTGAATGTAAATGTACAGAGCCAATACACTTCAGTGGACGAGGAGGATCAAAGTGTGTGTGTTCAGCTGCACAAGCCAGCTCATTACTCTCAGCGCTGTGTGTGTGTGTGAGTGGGTCTGTGTGTGTCAGTAAGCGAGTGTCAGTGTGTTTGTGTGTGTGTGTGTGTACTGTATATCTATCAGGCAGTAAAGATCACAGATTTTTAAAGAAATCAGACCTTAAGCGTGGTGATTTTATAATGGAGAGACAGTTCACTGAAAGTGCTGAGGCTGGCTGACTGAAATTAAAAGTCTCTGTGCATATAAAAACATTGAGAAGACATTTAATGATTCAACAAGAAGAGGCAAAACATACAGTACGAGAAGTGCTATTTATTCAAACTAACTTGTTTGAGCTCAGAGAATTTAGTGCTAGAGTAGCAGTCTTTTGGAAAGAAGGAGTGAGAGAAAGAAAGAGCTTTAATAGGTGGTTTTGGTTTTATTTATCAGGGGTTCAGGGGCTCTCATGCCAGTTTATCCACAATCCAAGTGGGAACGTGAAGATCATTTCAAAACTTATTAGATAAATTCTTATTTATTTAATATTTATTATTATAATTTTAGTTGATTTTGATAGCAAACTTTTTTTTTGTTCACATAATCACATTTCTTGTCTGGTCTCACAATCACTTTGTTTTATTCACATAATCAATTTTTTTGTTTGTTCACAATCACATTTGTTTTGTTCACATAATAACATTTTTTGTTTGATCACATGATAACATTTGTTTTGTTCACATAATAACATTTTTTTGATTGGTCACAGAATGACATTTGTTTTTGTTCACATAATAACATTTTTTGTTCACATCACTTTTTTGTTTGGTCACAATGACACTTGTTTTATTCAAATTACGACATTTGTTTTGTTTACATAATAATAAAGTTTGTGTTTGGTCACATAATAACATTTGTTTTGTTCACATAATCATTTTTTTTGTTTGTTCACATAATTACATTTATTTTGTTCACATAATCAAATGTTTTGGTCCCATAATCACATTTGTATGGTCACATAATGACATTTTTTTAGTCACATTATTTTTTTGTTTGGTCACATAATCACATTTGTTCACATAATGACTGTTTGGTTACAATCACATTTGTTTGGACACATAATGACATTGCTTTGTTCACATTATCAAATTTGTTTGGTCACATAATTTTTTTTGTTTGGTCACATAATGACATTTTTTTAGTCACATTATATTTTCTTGGTTTGGTCACAATCACATTTGTTCACATAATGACTGTTTGGTCACAATCACATTTGTTTGGACACATAATGACATTGCTTTGTTCACATTATCACATTTGTTTGGTAACATAATATTTTTTTGTTTGGTCACATAATGACATTTGTTTACATAATCACATTTGTTTTGTTCACATAATCACATTTTTTTGGTTACATAATAATGTTTTTTGTTCCATAATCACATTTTTGGACACAAAAGGACATTTGTTTTGTTTACATAACATTTTTTTGTTTGTTTTTTTGGTCAGATAATCAAATATTTTGTTTGGTCACATAAAATCGTCTGCTAAATGACTAAATGTAAATGTAATAAAGTTTTTTTTTTTGCACATAATCATAAATAAAATTTTGCTTGTTCACATAATCCCCCCCCCCCCCCCACATAATCACATTTTTGTTTGTTCATGTAATCACATTTTTTAGCTTGTGCACATAATCACATTTTATGTTTGTTTACATAATCAAATGTTTTGCTTGTACACAATAATCACTTTTTTGTTTGTTTACATGATCACATTTTTGTTTGGTTACATAATAAAGTTTTTTTTGGGAAAAATAAACACATTTTCTGTTTGGACACATAATTACGTTTTTTTTTTTTTTTTGTTCGCTCTCATAATCACAATTGTTCAAATAATAATTTTTGTATTTTAACCTAATCACTGTTTTGGTTTGTTCACATATTCACATTTTTTTTTTTGTTTACAATTACATTTTTGTTAATTCACATAATCACATTTTTTTTTACATAATCACATTTGTTTGTTTTTTTACATGATCACATTTGTTTGTGTTTTTTACATAATCACATTTGCTGTGCTTGTTTGCGTGATCATGTTTTTTCAGCTCACATAATAACCTTTTTAATTAATTTTTCTGTCTTCTCCCAGATGTGCTCAACAATGACAACCACTACGTGGCGATCTTTGACCTGTCTCCGGTTTTGTCGGAACGTCAGATTCAGGCAGCGGAGCTGCGGATCCGCGTCCCTAGAGACCTGCACCCCGATGGGCTGACATTGGAGCTCCAGCACCAGCAGGGGGCGCCGTGCCCTCGTCACCAGCCCTGCCCGAAGAGCCAGTCTCTGGGCCTTTTGCCGGAGGAGTCCCTGCTGAGCGTAACACAGCACTGGAGGGTGTATAATGTCACAAATCTGCTTCTGCACTGGCCCCGGCCCCGAACATCTCCCCGCAGCCGAGTAAAGACCAAGAGACCAGCAGCGGCCCCTGGGGGAAAGGAGATCCACAGTGGGCCTAGGAGACCAGCGGCAGCCCCTGGGGGACAGGAGCTCCAGAGAAGGCCCCGAAGACCAGCAGTGGCCCCTGAGGAACAGGAGCTACCGAGCAGGCCCAGGAGACCAGTGGTGACCTCTGGGGCACAGGAGCTCCAGAGTGGGCCTCAGAGACCAGCAGCGGCCCCAGGGGGACAGAAGATCCAGAATAGACCCCGGAGACCATCAGCAGCCCCTAAAGGACAGGAGCTCCAGAGCAGGCCCAGCAGACCAGCGACAGCTCCTAGGGGACAGGAGCTCCAGAGCGCACCCCAGCGGCCAGTAGTGGCCCCTGGGGGTCGGGAGATTCATAGCAGGCCCTGGTTGCCAGCAGCAACCCCTGGGGGACAGGAGATCCAGAATGGGACCCAGAAACACAGAGCCATGCTGCTGCTGTTTTCAGAGCAGCAGGACGGGGCCAGTCTCCTACACACCGCCGGGGCCTCGAAGTTTCTGTTTTCTAGAAATAAGAAAGAAGTCAAGCGAGGACGGGCCCTCAGGAGCCGCAGGGGCCGCCGGGGGCCACCTGTCAGGAGCCCAGAGCTGCAGAGAACACCACTGCACAAGAGCACCACCTGCAGGAGGGTGGACATGCATGTGGATTTTAACCAGATCGGATGGGGCTCCTGGATCGTGTTCCCTAAGAAGTACAATGCATACCGGTGCGAGGGGGCCTGCCCGAACCCACTGGGAGAAGAGCTGCGGCCCACCAATCATGCATACATGCAGGTACTACGGTATATGTGTAAATATAACTTTAAATACATGGATAAATGTGTAAATGTTAATTATTTTAAATTAATCTGGCTTTCAATAAAATATAAGCTAATTAGCATTTTTAAAAGTAGATTTAAATAGTTTAAAATATTTATATTAAATATTTTGTAATGGCATAAAAATAGGTAGATAAGAATATAAATAATAATTGTTTGAAATAAAAGTTGCTTTAATTTAAATTTATATTAATTAGCATTTTTAACTGATGTGAAAAATTAAAGCTCAAAAATATTTATAATAAAACAACATAAATAAATGTAGAAATATTAAATAAAATGTAATTTCAAATAAATCTAAAACTATAAAACTAAAACTAATACAAGATTGTGTTACTATAATGTTATACAATTTATAGATAAGCATAAATTTATAAAATAAAAATTTATATGAAATAATTAAAAAATAAATAATATCTATTTATATATTTTTTATTTACTGAAATAACAACTTTGCATTTAATAAATCACATCAAATGCCCTGCAAAACATTGATTTTACTCCTGAAGTAAATGCAAAGTTAATGTGAAACTTTACTGAAATAATGAAATAACTCTGCTGTGTGTGTGTGTGTGTGTGTGTGTGTGTGTGTGTGTGTGTGGGCTTGTGCTGCAGAGCTTGCTGAAATATCATCACCCCAGTCGTGTTCCTGCATCCTGCTGCGCTCCGACCCGCACCAGCGCTCTCAGTATGCTGTACTACGAGAACGGAGAGATGATTCTGAGACACCACGAGGACATGCAGGTGGAGGAGTGCGGATGCCTGTGATACACACACACACACACACACACAGATGTACAGAGACACACAGACTTACACACATGCACTCACAGACGCACAAACACACACTCACACGTCTGCAGTTATGATGCACCGCAGGAACACTTGAGCACTGTCTGTATTATTAGTTAGAGGAATGTAAATATTTATTGTAAATAACGCATAAATAAAGGTCTGATATTTCTGTAAATATAATATATGAATTTTTGTATGATGAAAGGAGATCTGGTGATTAGATTGGAGATATTTTTGCTAATAGAAATAAAAAAAAAAGATTTGCCTGAAGTTCTTTAATATATTGAACTGTCTGCCTGTTCTGTCTGTTTTCACCCTCATAGAGTTTACCAAAATTTATCATTTTAATCCATGTAAGGTCATTTATTATTTAATTTTTATTGTTTGATAAATTTATTATTTGACAAAGAAAGCAAAAAAAAATAAATGAAAGGATGGATACACTCACCGGCCACTTTATTAGGTACACCTGTCCAACTGCTCATTAATGCAAATGTCTACTCAGCCAATCACATGGCTGTGGGTGCAAATGCCTTGTTGATGCCAGACGTCAGAGGAGAATGGCCAGACTGGTTCCAGCTGATAGAAAGGCAACAGTAACTCAAATAAGCACTCGCTACAACCGAGCTCTGCAGAAGAGCATCTCTGAACACACAACACGTCCAACCTTGAGGCGGATGGGCTACAGCAGCAGAAGAGCACACCGGGTGCCGCTCCTGTCAGCTAAGAACAGGAAACTGAGGCTACAATTCACACAGACTCACCAAAACTGGACAATAGAAGATTGGAGAAACGTTGCTGCTCTGATGAGTCTCCATTTCTGCTGACACATTCGGATGCTCGGGGCAGAATTTGGCCTCAACAACATGAAAGCATGGATCATCCTGCCTTGTATCAGCAGTTCAGGCTGGTGGTGGTGGTGTAATGGTGTGGGGGAGATTTTCTTTGGGTCCATTAGTACCAATTGAGCATCAACGCCACAGCCTACCTGAGTATTGCTGCTGACCATGTCCATCCCTTTATGAGCACAGTGTCTCCATCTTCTGATGGCTACTTCCAGCAGGATAACGCAGCATGTCATAAAGCTCAATCATCTCAGACTGGTGTCTTGAACATGACGATGAGTTCAAGTGAACAATGAGTGTACCTAATAAAGTGGCCAATATACCTATAAAATGTACACACAAATCATGCCTAGTGTGACTGTTTGTCTAACATTAATTATTATTACAATTTTGCTGGTGAGGGTTGTTATGGTCCGTGGGGAGGCCATACAATAAGCAGATTTTACTGTAGAAAACACACCAACACTAGCAAATGAGTCTGTCTCTGTGTGTTTGAGAGAGAGCTTTTTAAAAAACACTTATGTTATAGCGAGTTTACAAAAACTCCACTTAAGAAATCAATAATAAATCATTTAGTAATGTGTGAAGTGAAGTTCGCCATCAATAACAGAACATAAAACACCTTCAGTGCAACACCAAATATTCTAAACAACATGCACGTTTATAAAACTTAAAATCAATCAACAATCTTGATTTAACCAAAGTAATAAAAAGAAACAAGTTCAATTTTCTCCTTCCTGGTCAAGTAAAGGGCCATCTCCCTCTTCCCAAAAATAGAGTTCAATAACAAAATAATCATTTGAGGAATGAAATAATGATGAAAAATCAATCTAAGACAGTGTAAAAAAGCAAACGAGAGAGAGGGAGTGTGTGTGTGTGTGTGTGTGTGTGTGTGTGTGTGTGTGTCAGGGGTCAGCAGGACTCAAACACAATCAGTTTGGATTGTTCAGCTCAGGTTTATTCCAGTGTTCTCCAGCGGGAGCTTCCCGATCACAGCACTTACACTATACAGCAGAACACTGGAGTACACTACACTACACTACAGTACACACAGCTCTGGGCTTAGTCACAGCTGGAACACACACAAGAGCGGTGAGTTGACAAGCTAAAATTAATACTCAATCATTACAAACATGTAGAGAGTGTTTTAAATATATATATTGATGTTTTTTTATTATTATGAGTGATATGCTGGAGTTGTGTTCATATTTGTAATGCAGAATTTCCAATTCTATAAAATAAAAGACAGGCTATTTTTAATATATTTTAATTTAACAAAGGGTTTTTTTTTTTAAATCAATGATATGAGTTTAATATACTTCAAATAAACGCATTTCTTTATTTTATTTATTTACTGTTTATTTCAGCCCTCAAGGCAAGTAGTAATTAAAAAGACACAAACACCAGACTGTACATTTTAGCTCTTTAAAGCATTCTTAATGTAGAGTTAGTATGCTCTTATTTAGAAAAACTGACCTTTTATTTTAAATCAAGTTTGATTTCAAAAACATTGTTAGCATCATGATATCGTATTATTATTAGATATAATAATAAATATTTGTATTGTTATGTAAAAATGTATGAAACAATCAAATCAGTCAAATAAAATAAACTGCATTTATAACTTTTAAAAGTTTACATAATATACAATCAGGAAAATAATTTAATTATTTATATTATTTGAATTTTTAATTTCTTTTTTAAATATTTCCCTAATGATGTTTAACAGAGCAAGAAAATTTTCACAGTCTGTCTGATAATATTTGTTCTTCTGGAGAAAGTCTTATTTGTTTTATTTCAGCTAGAATAAAAGCAGTTTTTAGTTTTTTAAACATCATTTTAAGGTTAATATTATTAGCCCCTTTACGCTTTATTTTTTTTCCGATAGTCTCCAGAAAAAAACATCGTTATACAATAATTTGTCTAATTACCCTAACCAGCCTAGTTAACCTAATTAACCTAGTGAAGCCTTTAAATGTCACTTTAATTTTTTTTTATTTATATACACAGTATGTCAGTTTTAGAGAAGTATTTTTATACGCTGTTCTCATTCATTGGATGAATATTTATTATTATTTATTATTACAAATTATATAAAATGTAATTACTATGTAAATAATATGTATACAGTTATTACAGGTTAATACAATTTAAAGAGTCGCTTTACACTACCGGTCAAAAGTTTGGGGTCAGTAGGATTTTCAAATGTTTTAAAATCAGCTTCTCCTGCTCACCAAGACTGCATTTATTTAATCACAAATAGAGTACAAATTGTAAAATAGTGAAGTGTTATTGCGCTTTAAAATAACTGTTCAAAAGTAGATTAAATTTCATTTATTTTAATGATGAATTTTCTGCTTTATTACTCCAGTCTTTAGAGTCACATGATCCTTCAGAAATCACTCTAATCTCTAGTATTATCATTAATATTAACTAATTAATTTTCATTTGAAACTACAAGAGAGCAGTTATTTAACATTTTTAATAAATATTTAACAATTCAACATTTTTTTACATTTAATAAACGAATCATTTTATTTAAATAAAACATGGAAAAAACTGACCCCAAACTTTTAAAACACACACACACACACACACACGCATAAGCACACGCACACACACACACACACACACACACACACAAACACACACACACACACACACACACACACACACAAAGTTAGTTTTGCAAAATTATATATACCGTTCTCAATATTTGGATGAAGATTTAGAATTACTTATAATTATATAATACTTAAAATGTAATTAATATGTAATACGTTGTGTAAACAATTGAAAGAGACGCTTTTATACTTTTACTCTTTGAATAAAGCTTAAAACTTGGGTAAAATGCATACATCTATTTATGTTTTCGGGTCTTCAGATTACTTACAAGGTTTGTAACATGTTACACCGATCACCGAGGCCAAAAACAATTCAGAAATTAAAGAAAAGTAAATAAAACAGTAACATCAAACTTACGCAGTTGGCCGCGAGTCTTTACGACAGTTGCGCGTCATATATACGCATAATACGGCATGTCTCTGTGTGCGAGCATGTAGTATTTCAGTGTCGCTTTCCAGAAACACACACACACACACACACACTAAACAGAAACTTCTCTCATTCATTCACACACACTCATAGTAAACTCGACGATTCGCTGAATGGAGACGGTGAGGCACTGCATGCCTGAATGTGAGGGTTTACTTTACTGACTCTGTGTAATGTATTCGGCTCGTGCTTTAAGGCTTTTGGTAAATGAATGGCATGACGTCACTGCAAACAATAATACAGCGAGATTATTACTGAGAGCTTTACATGACGACTAAATACCATATTAATAACTAATGGGCTATTAATAATCCCAGTGTGTGTGTGTGTGGAGCTGGTATGAATACAGAAACGGCAGAATGTCTCCGCTTCTGCTGTGTCATCTGTTGTTTGAGCTAATTTTAGCAGCTGACAAATGCAGATTCATACATGATAGAACACTACTCTGAACCATACTATAGTAAAGTGTGTTATACTGTATATATTATAGTATCTACAACTCTCTGTTAATGAATGATCCAGCATACTGTAGTGTTCATTATAGTGAACTGATAAACTGTAATAAATGGATACTGTGGTATACTTTACTGTTCACTACAGTAAACTGTGGTGTATTGTAGTATAAGATATGCTAGAGTTGTAGAAAACTACTGGCTAGTTTGTTTATTTTATTGTTGTGTTACCAAAGCAACTATAGAATTACTTCAACAGATCAATGCTTAGTTATTTGTTACCATAGCAACTATAAGATCGCCACAACAGATCAATTACTATAGTTGTTCTGTTACTATATAAACTGTAGTATCAACACAACAAATCAATGCACTATAGTTGTGTTACCATAGCAACTGTAGTATCACCACAAAATATCATTTGATACAGACGTTGTTACCATAGTAACTATAGAATCACCAAAACAGATCAATTGCTATAGTTGTTTTGTTACCATAGCAACTATAGAATCACCACAACAGATTAATTACTATAGTTCTTGTGTTACCATAGCGACTATAGATTCACCACAACAGATCAATTACTGTAATTCTTGTGTTACCCTATCAACTATAGAATCACCAAAACAGATCAATTGCTATAGTTGTTTTGTTACCATAGCAACTATAGAATCACCACAACAGATTAATTACTATAGTTCTTCTGTTACCATAGCGACTATGGATTCACCACAACAGATCAATTACTGTAATTGTTGTGTTACCCTATCAACTATAGAATCACCACAACAGATCAATTTCTATAGTTGTTCTGTTACCGCAGCAACTGTAGAATCACCACAACAGATCAATTACTATAGTTGTTATGTTACCATAGCAACTGTAGAATCACCACAACAGATCAATTGAAACAGCTGTTTTGTTACCATAGAAACTATAGAATAAGAGTAATTAAAGTTTTTTTTTTTTTTTACTATAGTATGGTTCAAAAACACTAGTATTTTCTAAAAATGACTGTAGTATACATACTTTATACATCCATGCCCTGCATTACAATAAATTGAATATCGGGCTGCACAATATATCATTTCAGCATCGATATCTCGATGTGATCATTCGTAATAGTCAAGTTGAGTCTAAATTATAATTTATAAGTGTTGTAATTTACAAGTGTTGTTTGGGGCCTGTGACTGTGTGAGGGGTTTAAAAGAGTTCAGGCCTAAGAAATTGTAGTGTTTTTAACTTTAACAAATTAATAATGACAAATACTATTGAATCATTTATAAAAAGAAGACTATGCAGTATTATTTTACATTTGATTTATTCAATTATCGTATTCCTGAATACAGTTTGACTCTTTATATAATTTGTATCTTTTTTGTTACTAAATTTATCTCTGCTTATAGATTGTTTCTTACATTTTTTGCAGATGCACTCCCCTACAGAATCATAATAATCAATCTAAAATGACCATTTTTTTTCCCCAAATAGTTATTTAACACATCTAGTGAAATTGTATTTATGTCGCAATATATATATTGCAGAATAAAAAAACATTGCAATGTTAGATTTTTCCAATATCGTGCAGCCCTAATTGAATACATAGGGCTCTATTTTAACGATCTAGGCACAAAGTCCAAAGCCTTCCCCATCCACTTTTGCTATTTTAAGGATGGGAAAATCCACTCTGTGCCCACGGCACAAGGTCTAACAGGGTTGAGCTTATCCTCTTAATGAGTTATAGGTGTGTTTTGAGACTAAACCAATCAGAGTCTCATCTCCCATTCCCTTTAAGAGTCAGTTGCGTCGCACCATAGAGCATTTGCTATTTACATGGCGGAGTTTGTAAGTGGAAAAACTGAACACTTCACTAGCGAGAAAACTGTTAAACAGAGCATCTGCAGCACGAGAATGAGAGATGAGCCTCCTCATTATTTACTTTCACTTTCGCTCTCGTGGATAGGGTAAGGAATAAATAAACAATAATAATAAAGTGTGATCAACAGCTGAGTTTTATCCAAACACACATGCTGTGGTCTAAACCCTGACAGGTGGGCAAATCTAAGCTTGTTTTTAATAAAACAAATATAAATCTGGATAAAACAAACAATACAGCTACTAATAATAACATTACACAAAAGCAAATTGTCATGAATAAACTGATAAAGCTTTGGTGTTTATATTGATGTAGAAAATAATCATTTTGTGCTGCACTTTAGACCTCCTCTAAGCTGGTCTATTGGGCAGTTTATTTTAGTTCCTCAAATAGCAACGTGCTAACAATGCGCCCTAACACACCTCTTATCTAAACCAGAACACCCATGAGTCCACAAAGTAGTATATAAATGTATTATTTATAGATTAATTTAAATCATAAATAAGGACGATAAATACAAAATAATGTTATTCCAAAGATGTTTAATGTGAGTGCAACTATAAAATAAGTGAAATAAAGTCTCTTCATATATATTGGAGAAAGTACTCAAATTAGATATATCAAAAAAATTAGCAATTTGGAAATTTGTAGGATAAACATTATGCAAGATCTTAAAATGTATCTCTCTTATTTTGTTGGATATGCTGAATTTCTCAGGTAATAACCATGCTCTCTTCCATTGAATGCAATCAGAAAAATTGGTCCAGAAAAATTGACATCTTGGGGAGGTATATACAAAGTAATACAATCGTCTGACAAGTCTGTTGTCACATTTTTTATCAAAAAAAAAAGACACTCCATCCAAAAAAAGTTTAGGCATAATGGTTTCCCTCTCATTAAAGTAAAGAAACGTTTTAAATAAATGCACATAACGTGACAAACTCTTTATATCACAGTTGAAGGATTTAGCTGGCAGAGGGAAATTATAAAATGTCATAAATTCTTCATATTGCCATCGTTTTTAATTTTAATTTTAATTTATTTTTAAATAAGTCCAAAACAGTTTTTTACCTCTCTCTCAATTCTTTCTTATTTTTTTTGTTATTGTATTTTTCTTCAATGCAGTGAAGTTGTTATTCTTGTATTCAATTAAAAAAATAAATTATTTATTGTGCATCTGGATGTAATGTTTTAATATAATATAATAAACGGCCCCTCTGGGAGTAGAGACATGACGGGCTTGTCAGATACTATGTGATGACATCACTGATATGCAAATTAGAGTGTGACGTCATCTGGCAACATTTCTCGTTCAGGCTCTAGCTACTTTTCATTGAAAATAGTTGGCAACACTGATTACAACAGTGGTTTGTTCTGTATCCAATCGAAGAAGAAAATGAACAGAGTTAATATTCGTGGCCTAAGCACTTTTTAATTATTTTTAAAACTGAAATATATGACACTTTCTCCAGAATAAAAAAAAAAACATAATAGAAAATGCTGCGAAATATTTAGTAAACTATGTAGGGCGATTAATTACAGATATTGATGTGACATATCTCTATGACATCACTGCATGTTTGTGCGCTCTGGCAGGAAGTCTGGCTGTTACCTGTGACTTGCTGTGCATGAGTTACAGACGCTGCTGATCCACCAACCGCTCCTCAGATCTCCATCAGACCCGAACCCAACAGGATGGCGCAGGCCGTGGCGAAAGTGGCCCGCAGGATCAACGACACCATGGAGGAGGGTAGAGACTCGCTGGGTCTGTAAAAATGGAAATATATCACTTTTTGAACACATAAAAGTGACATGTTCAATTTAAATGACTGATTTGGTGCAAATATTTAAGATTGGTCTCATTTAAGAGAACACACTTGTCAGATTTTAGCTGAAAAAAAGTGAAAAAAGTGCCAAAAGTTTAATGAATCTAAAATGTGCCTTTACGTTTATGAAAATAATAAAAGAATGAATGTATATATTACTATATAACAGAAATATGTATTTTTACAAAACCTGTTTAGCCTAAATTTAATGGAAAATCTAAGTACATATTTAAACAAATTATATTGCAAATTTGAAGTTAAGCTTTTAGTAAAATTGAGTTTGGCTGCAGTTCCAAAAATGACCACCGGGTGATAATTAGTGGTGAACATACAAGGGTGTCCCCTTGTTCGGTGTATGTCATAAGGAATATAAACCAAATTTTTTTCATTATTTTGACAATATTTGCAAAGTGCACATCAAACTTGAATGTATTACTGCCAGATTGGTGGTATTTAATTTGAATTTATCCTCTAAAACAGTGTTTCTTAACCACGCTCCTTGAGGAGCACTAGCACTGCATGCTTTGGATGTCTCCTTTGTCTGTCACACCCATTACAGGTCTTGCTAATCACTGACGATCTGGATCAGGTGTGTTTGGTTAAAGAGTCATGGAGATGTGTAGAGCTGGTATTCCTCCAGGAATGTGGTTGAGAAGCACTGCTCTAAAAAGATCTAAAATCTATAGATTAAAACAAATAAGACATTTCACTGCAAAACATGCTTAAAAATCCATCTAGAGAAATTATTTACAGCTGGATATTTTCATTCTTTAATTTTTCCTCGGCTTAGTCTCTATTTCAGGTGTTGCCACAGCAGAATGAACCAACTATTCGAACATATGTTTTACGCAGGGGATGCCCTTCTAGCTGCAACCCAGCACTGGGAAACACTCTTACACTCACATTCACACACACACACTCATACACTACGCGCAACTTAGTTCATCATTTACCCTATAACGCATGTGTTTGGACTGTGGAGGACACCGTAGCACCTGGAGGAAACCCAAGCCAACACGGGGAGAACATGCAAACTCCACACAGAATCGCCAACTGACCCAGATGGGACTCGAACCAGTGACTTTCTTGCTGTGAGGCAACAGTGCTTACCCCTGAGCCATCGTGCTGCCCTTATATATTAATATATTGCATAAAATATAATTATATATATATATATATATATATATATATATATATATATAAAGCCTAAATTTGATAACTTAACAAATTATATTCCAAATTTGAAGTTGATATCACCAAAAATGAGCTTGGCTGCAGTACCAGACATGACCACTAGTCATTGATGACATTCAGTTTACATTGGTAACCACATAAGCATGCTGCCTGTTTCTGTTTATGTTTTGAGGATTATGAACCGTATTTTTCTTACTTCTGACAATATTTGTAAAGCAGACATCAAATTCTAAACTATTATGGCCAGTTTTGTGGTATTTATGTTGAATTTATCATACAAAAACATCTATAATCTATAGAATAAAACAAATAGGAACATTTTACTTAAAACCATGCTTAAACAATCCAGTTAATCTAGACTAGAGAAATTATTTAAGCTGAACATTTTAATTCATTCATTTTCTTTCTGCTTAGTCTCTATTTCAGGGGTCGCCACAGCAGAATGAACCACCAGCTATTACAGCATATGTTTTTAAGATTGAGTTTGTCTGCAGTACCAGACGTGACCAGCAGGCTTGCATTAATGACATTCAGTTTACATTGGGAACCACATAAGAGTGCTGCCAATTTCTGTCTATGTTTTGAGGAATATGAACAGCATTTTTTATACTTCTGATAATTTTTGTAAAGTAGACATCAAATTCATTAACTATTAAATCAATTACGGTTAGTTTGGTGGTATTTAATTTGAATATATCCTCTAAAAACATCTAAAATTGATAGATTAAAACAAATAAGAACATTTTACCTAAAACCTTGCTTAAACAATCCAGTTAATCTAGACTAGAGAAATTAGTACTAGGTTGCAGCCGGAAGGTCATTCGCTGTATAAAACATATGCTGGAATAGTTGGTGGTTCATTCCACTGTGGCAAACTCTGAAATAGAGATTACGTAAGTGGAAGGAAAATGAAAGAATGAGTGCTGTTTCAGCCATAGAGGGCTGTGTTCAGCAGATGGCGCTGTTGCTCTGAGAGACTCCATGAATCCCACCTGTCTGATCTTTATCTGTGTCATTTTCTGCAGATCCTCAAATCAGTCAAGAGTAATTAAAGGCTCATGGCAATCAGTGTTATTGTGCAGCAGCACCTCTGATTACACAAACACAACATCCAGAGCCTCAGAATGACCAGCTCCGTTCGTCAGGCTGACTGCATTCACACTGATTTGAGGAGTGATTGCAATACAAATCAAAGTTTATCAGTCACATGCGCAGTACGATATGCAGTGAAATACTTATCTGACCTATAATAAATAAACTATGGAATAAAAATCAATATCACACAACACATAAGCTCAATCATACTTTGGTGATGCAATATATATATATATATATCGCCCATACATTAACACCAATTCAAGCAACTTCTTTATCTCTATTGGAGGTGTCAGTATGGTTAAAAACTATAGATGGGCATAGATTAATGACTAATGATTATGCCATGTTAACATGTTATATATAACATGTTTATATGTATTATAGGTGGGCATAGATAATTTTTTTTAATCTAGAATAATCTCACTGTAATCTTGGAATTAATCTATATTTAAATGGCTCGTTTGAATTCTGCATTCAGAATATGTGCAATACCCAAATAATGACTAAAAGTCTTTGAGAACAGGTTTCTCAAGCCAGGTGGCGCATTAGACCAGGGGAACATCTCCTGTTTCCACAATGTATCACAAACTGCTTGAGAAACTGTTTACTGTGATAATTGGTGATGAAAATAAATGTTCAATGAGATGTGCTTGTGTTTACTGTTTATTCAGTTAAACATGAATGTTTACATAAGCTCCAAACAGCCATCGTGATGACCCTAATCTGACTAAAGTCATAACTGAACTAAACAGAAATGGAATTAAGACATGTGGAGTATGCAGATATTAGTGGCAGTATTGAAGTAAACACCGCAATCAAACTATTACCGTCATATTTTCCCTCAAGATCCACATACGTGGCTGTCAGTAAAGGACCGCACACACACACTCACATCTCGAAATGCGGACGTTTTTTTCTTTCCACTCGGCAATATTAAATTCCATAACACTCCCACCAGTCCTTACTCCTGATTTGTGTATATTAGCTAGGGCCAGACAGAATCACCGGACATTTTTTAACATTTCTGCGGAGAATTTTGGTAAAACTTTTGGTAAAAATTTCTGCAGAATTATTTTGGGAGTATCATAACTAAAACATTATTATGTGAAATAAAAATAGTATATTTTAAACTTTTAATTAATGTTTAAAATGCAAATTCAATTAGATTCACTTTATATGGTAAACAAAGTAAGTCTCATATAATATCTCTACTAAAAGACTACTACTGCAGAACTTTATAAACTGCATTGTACAAAAATCAGACGAACATTTTCATATCAGTCAATAATATTACTGTAATTAATTTAAAAACTGAATAAACTTAGATTTACTCAAGTAAATAAACAGAATTAATAATGGCCTAAATATCTGCGGAATTCTGCGGAAAATCTGTGGAAGTCTGCGCGCGCAAATTCCGTGTGGGCCTACTAATACCCTAGTTTGTCATGAGGGCATGAATGAAATGTTCATAAGTGAATGTGAACCTGCCGAATTACAGTTCAAGAGTTCACACTTAGCTCATGACTTACGAAAGCTCATTTGGCATGCTGTCCCGGGAGAGAGCCCTGAGCTCAAGGCATTCCTCGGGTCCAGGGCTCCCTCCCTTTGGGGATTCTTCAAGACGAAGATAGTTGTAAGTGGAAAAGGAGGAGATATATATAGGAACTAGGGACCCTTGATTGAAGGATCGTGATTAGCTATTATGAGCCACCTGGTTTAATCATGAGTACGTACTCCTCTCGAAATTAGTTTAATAAATTAAACTTCACTTAAAGTCAGCCAAAATTACAGGAAACTCTTACGGCCCGTTTAAACTGCCATTTAAATGTGACCCAATTCTGATTGTTTGCTCATATGTGACACAGATCAGATCTGTTCTATGACCGTGTAAACAAATGCATTCAGATATTCAGAGATGGTTTTCAGGCCTCCTTCATATGTGGAAATAAATCAGATATAGATGGGATATGTGATAATGCGACTGTCATGTAAACAGGCAGATTGGAATTATTGAGGCAGTTCTGTTCTGTACAACATTAAACTTGCGACTATGTGGTGCTTCTCCACGGTTTAATGACAGAAGGAAGAGCGTGTGTGGAGATGCTGACGCGGTAAACAACATCAGAGGAAACACAGAGGAGGAAAGTGGTCAGTCGCCACAATTTGCTCCTACCAGACCTGACATCTCTCTCGTACACACACATTCCTCTGAATGGTGGAGGACATCATACAGCGTATAAACCACAAGCGCAAGCTGCGATGACGGCTCTTTCCCACCTCTGCCTCAAAATCATTTTAAAGTTGGGCGAACTTCGTGTTGTAACTTTTGCTTTTTGGCCCTATTAATACACGCACTGCAGGCTACACATAGAATTACTTTATTCTTAGGGATGGCTGACGTTTCGACACAGTGTCGAGATCCCGAAGCGCAAGTGTGTCGAAACACTGCACTGAAGCATGATCCGAAACACCCAGGTCACATGACTAAAGTGTTTCGAAACACCTGGTCACATGACTAAAGCGATTCAAAGCATTAATCATTTCAGAAGCGTTTCGAGACCTGGAGAATCTGCATTTGACTGACAGGGTCGAAATCAAGTTTCTGTCTTTTATGGCCTAGTGGACCATGCGTGCGTCTTTTATGGCCTAGTGGACCGCATGTTGTTAATGTGTTTCAAGTTAATTTTAGGTTCGAATCCCGACTAGTTCAAATACTCCAAAATCATAATTCTACATATTTTAATCATGTTTCTGTTTCATGGAAACACGTCATAAATTTAGCATCATTTTTGTAACACTGTAAAACAATCATTAATATTTTTACAGTACAGTGATGGGTTTACGGTTTGGGTAGACGTTAATAAAATACGATGGGAAGTTTAATTGATAATATAAATAATTATTGTTAACTTCTGGCCACAACTTTATCTGATCTAGCAACAACCCTGTTTTATGACCAAAACAATAAAAATTTTTTACAAGGTGTTTATTGGGATATCATAGCAATGTTGAAACAAAACGATACAAGAACAAAGCATTACCAACTGGTATTAAAGTCACTAAAACTCCAACCACTCGACTGAACCACTTGATGATACAAAGGTACAAAGTGAGGTTTCATACCTCAATTTGCTCAACTGTTCTTTGTTGAAGCTGTTTCAGTGCAATACAAATTAAATGACCACTAGGTGGCACCGTAGAGTGAGGTTTCGAAACGTTTCAAAGCTTCGACACATTTGCTTCGACTATTTCAGTGTTTCACAAAGCCTCGTTTTGCCCACCACTATTTATTCTCTCCAACAGCAGTGCGCACTTAGGCAAAGACTACATCTTCAACTACACACACATCAGGCCCATACCATTACATAAACTGCGTGGGGGTAAATCTGGACCAAACCATTCCCTGCTTATACTACACCTATACGCATTTTACGCAGAGCTAAAAACAAGACAATTTCTTCCATCTTTATTTGTCATTTATAAAGGATTTATAAAGCATGAACAGTCCTCACTTTAGATAAGGTCACAAAGCTAGGTGAAGTTGAGTTAATAAAGCATTTATTAACATATTAGTTGATTATTAATATATGCCTGAATAATAAGACATATAAACGTTAATTTCAATAGTTTATTAATCATTTACTAACTCATTCTGAATGATCCTAAAAACCCTCTACTCTTAAATACAACTGGTTTGTAAATAAAGCAACACCTTATCTAGTAATGAAAAATTTATCATTTACTAAGTATGAAAATACAATTATTGAGCACATTTTAAATGTGGTTATAAGTCAAGAATAGAGCATTTGTAGCTGCAGTTATAAACTGCTTACTAACGCTTATTAATGTAGAGTTAATATTTAACAGATAATGAATTCACAATTTGCTAATGCTTAATAAATGATTTATAGTGTGTAGTTATCATAGATATATACATTAGATGTCGCCTGGCCTATTGTTGTCTATTGGACGGAATGCGTCAATAGCGCCTCCATCTTGCTACAGGGTAGCGCTCCTTTGAAATGAATGCGGGACCAAGGTACAGTGGAGGACTGTGGCCATGCAAAGCCAGAGATTTACACATATACACATATATCTATGATCGGGAGTTTTCCTGGATGTTAGTATTCAATTTTTTTTCGGATCAGTGACCGCATGGGCATTCCTGACTAAAAGCTTGTGTTAGTGTGTACGGAAATGTACTATCCACCCTCCCTGCTAAATTTGATCTAATCATGTCCTGAAGCACAGCTCCTCTCCTGCCTTCACTGCTCATACTGACGGAGAGAGCGACTCGTTTGTGAATGAATCCCCCGAACGACACTTTCACTAACGTTAGCCGACAATAATACAAGTTTCTGGCAGCGCAGCATCTCGTTGTCATATTTCTTTTGCTGATTTTATTCAACAAAACTAGCATAAGCCGAGTGTTTAGTGCGAGTTGGAGCTGCTTTGCCGTATGGTGAATGCAGTAAGAGACTGTTATCATCAATAACGTTACCTGTTGAGCACAAAAGTTCAGAACATACAAAAACAGAAAAAAACTTAATATTATTTATGAAATGTTCTGCCTTTGTGCTTTGTTTTCTTTGTTTGCTCGTTACTACACCCGTACACAGCGCTAAAGTCCCGCATCTTCACGTAATAACACTGTCCTGACTAGTTCGGTTGAATGACATTTGTCCTGGGAGCACTGTACCAATGTGGCGGCGCTATTGACGCATGCTCAGGGTCCCTATGCGATATCTAGTGTATATATCTATGTGTAGTTATTATAAAGTGTTACCAAAACTCTTTCTGAAAAAAGACAACTCTTTTTGATAGTCTAGAAAATGCTTCATGATTCAGGAATGTTTTAATATTTGCACTAGAAACAAGACAAAAGCTCTTAAGTAAGAAATGTCTTTTTTTGCAGTGTGGTGTTACGCGGAGGCGACAGCTTTCTGAAACACAATCTCTTAATTAGAGCTCTGGTATTAACAGGCGGATTTTAATAGTCAGTGTTTGTTATGTTCTGCAGATCTGTCCGACTGCGGCCTCATCAGCTTTCCTGACGGAGTCTTCAAGATGATCCGCAGCTGCTCTGAAAACATCCACAAAATCTCTCTGGCCGACAACCAGATTAAAGCTCTGAGCAACAAGTTCTTCCTCACCTTCACACAGCTGAGAGGTCAGACTTCTGGAAAACTTCAGATTGCATCATCATATAGATCTGCTGGCTTTATTGTATGCGCAGCCATGCTGGCGATACTTGCATGAAAGCATTGTTCTTTATATTTCTTCCGTCTAAAGCAAGAGTTGTGCAGAAAACTTTTGGAGGTGCTCAAAGCATACAAAAGTAGTGCATGAGGCAAGGCTTGAACCCATTGAAAGTCTTTGCACACTGAAGTTTGTATGCATTTTTTAGGGTTCGTTTCTAAAAATTGGTCCTGCAAAGTCAGTTTGCATGCTGAAGTCACAAGATTTCTCAAATGCACTTGTTTTTTCGTATTCGTATTGTAAAGATTTGTCATGCACAGACACCCTGCATGCTGAAGTCCACATGTTTGTATCATTCAGGAGTTCACACTCAGCTGATGATTGATTATAAAGCGTGTTTGGCATGCTGTCCCGGAAGAGAGCCCTGAGCTCATAAGATCCTCGAGTCCGGGGCTCCCTCCCGTTTGCAGGGTAAGAAGGGAGTTTGAGCACAGGTAGATCTGGAGAACTCCCTTGCTGTAGTAGCTAATGAATAGATAGTGATAGCTCTTAACAGATAACTACTGACAAGGAGCATGTCTGTGGTGCCGATTTGGATCAGTCAATAAACTTAAGTTGCATGTTTCTGATCGGTGGGAGGAACCCGGGGGAAACCTACGTGTAAACTCCACACAGAAACGTCGGCTGGCTTGGTAAGGACTAGAACCAGTGACGCTCTTGCTGTGAGGCAACAGTGCTAACCACGGGGCCACCATGCCACCCATCTAAGAAAGAATGAGGAGGAGTAGAGGTGGAAGAGGGGATTCTTCAAAACTAAGATGGCTGTGATGTGGAAATTATGGGGTATTTATTGTGGCTTAGGAATGGTCTGATTAGTGAATCATAAATTGGGTAACGCGGGACCAGCCGCAAGCAATCATAAGCATGTGATCCTCTCAAAAGTAGTTTATATATAAACTTCCCTCCATTCATGTTTATTTCTATAGCACTTTTACAATGTTGATTTTCAAAGCAGCTTAACAGAAGTTTCTGTGCATTTTTTAGGATATTAAAACAAAAAAATGCACTCAAAAATGTTGACTATTTAGGATACGAATACAAAAATATACATGAGAAAAATTCTGACTTCAGTGTGCAAGGTTTCATTGCAATGATGAATTTTAAGGATATGTGAAGTTGAATTTAAAATTGAATTGAGAAACCTTGAACACTAATTTCCAAAATTGTTCATATGCATTTCCTTGTAATCTTATCCTAATTTTCGTATCCTAAAATTCATTATGCATAGAAACATTTCTCACTCAAGTCAGAGTTTTTTGTATGTATTTTTTGTATTCGTATCCTAAAAAATAATCATGCAAAGAAACCCAGCATGCAGAGGTCCAACATTTTTTCTATGCATTTTTTTATATTCACACTGTAAAATTTTATCACACCAAGGCACCTTGCAACATTCAACATCAAATTGTTCGTATGCACGTTTTTGTAATCATATGCTAACTGTTGTATCCTAAAAATTTGCTATGCACAGAAACCTTGCACACTAATGTCAAACATTTTTCGTATGCTTTATTTTTTATTTGTATCCTAAAAATTGTTATTACATAGAAACCCTGCATGCTGAAGTCCAGCAATTTTTCTTTGCATTTTTTACATTCATACTGTAAAATTTTATGATGCAAACAAACTTTGCAACATTCAGCATTTCATTTTTTATTTGGATTTTTAAAATATTTTTATTTTATTCTAAAAATTTGTCATGCAACGAAAGTTTGCATGCTAAAATAAAAAGATTTTTCATATGCATTAGTTTTTCCATATTCATATTTCGTATTCAGATTTGTCATGCACAGAAACCCAGCATGCCAAAGTCCACATTTTTGTATGCATTTTTTTTTGTATTCGTATCCTAAAAACTAATTGCACAAAAACCTTGCACACTAAAAAGTTCAACATTTTCACATGCATTTCTTTTCATATTGTTATCCAAAAAGTCATCATGCACAGAAACTTCTTCATATGTATGTTTTTTTAATCATATCCTATAAATATGTTTTGCACAGAAACCTTGCAAACTGAAGTCAGAATTTTTCAAATGCATTCATATCCTAAAAATTAATCATGCAAAGAAGCATCACACTCTGAAGTCCAAAAGTTTTCATATGCCTTTTCATTTGCTATGGTATCCTAAAATTTCAGCATGCACAGAAACTCATTCTTCAATTATTTTACTTCGGCTTGGTCCCTAATTTTTTATATTCCAGCATATGTTTCATGCAGCGGATGCCCTTCCAGCTGCAACCCAATACTGGGAAACACCCATACACACTCATTCACATTTACACTCATACTCTTCAGCCAATTAAGTTCATCAATTCCCCTATAGCGCATGTGTTTGGACTGTAAGGGAAACCAGAGCACCCAAAGAAAACTCATATCAACACTGAGAGAACATGCAAACTCCACAAAGAAATACCAACTGACCCAGCCGAGGCTCGAACCAGCGACTTTCTTGCTGCGAAGCCACAGTGCTAACCACTGAGCCACCGTGCCACACATGCACAGAAACATTGCAGTTTTTGTATTTATTTTTTTCATATACCTTATATATAATCTATATCGGCATCGAAACAAACTAATAATTTCCAGTTTTCCTTTATATGTGTATAATTTAGTCTACATCGGTATATCTGTGTTGTTTAGAGCTGGATCTGCAGGGAAACGTCCTCACGACGCTGCCGGATGCAATTGGAGAAGCGCAGCATCTGCAGATCATCAACATCTCCAGAAATAATCTGAGTGTGTTCCCGGAGCGACTGACGGATGTGAAGAGTCTGAAGCAGATCAGCGTGGAGGAAAACCAGATCACAGGTCAGCGCCGCTCATCAAACTCACTGCATCACCACAATTTTCACAAGGAGTTGGTACATTATCAATCTGCTAACGTCAAAAGCTCACTTTTTTTCTAATTTGTCAGCATATTTTAACTTATGATATTGCAATACACACAATCATTGTTTTATATTTGAAAATCTGTATAAATTTCACAGTCTAAGGGCTACTATTTTGCCTATATATGAAGAGTTCAGATGCAAAACCCTCTAAACCCATCAGAGCTCTTGTCTTATAAATGAGCATTTTCTATCAGGCTGCTCTGATTAGCTTCAGAAGTTTCACTTTATATGTATTGATAAGGTTATTAGCTGGTAAATAAAATAAAGTTTTTTTCATAAATGTCACTTTAGACAATTCTTTGGTTTTTAACAAGGCAGATTTTCTTTTGTGTCAAAACCAGCTAAATACACCTCTGATTTTTCTGCAGAAACCTCTAAACCCACATATTGGGACAAGACAGTGTAATTTGCTGAAAATCACTAAAGATGCTATTAGAAATTATTTTACCAAACATAAAACACCTTACACAGACCACCTGAAATTAAAAATACAGAAATCTGTCAGGTAACTGGCGGTTCATTCCGCTGTGATAAACCAGGGAAAATGCAGAAGGAAAATGAATGAATGAAATCTGTCAAGTGCATCAATCAATTAATCAATAACATTAAAACTGACATGAATTAAATCTGAACTATCTGTTGTCATTTCTGATATTTGGGGTTTAGATTTAATGTAAGTAGAGTAATGAAAACATTGCAAACATTGTAAAATAAGCTTGGTAGATTTAAATAATGAAGCGTAAAACATTATGAAACTTCAATATCTGTGCACTGTCCATTAATATCAGAGCTTATCAGATCTACAGGTAATATGAAGTCATATTAATAATGTATAGATTTGTATATTATATTTATCTTTTAAAAAAAATAGCTTACATTAGCAAATAAAACACAAGGTAGGTCTACTGGGCTAAAATGGGATGCCTCTCAGACACTTTTAGAAGCTGTTATTTAATCTTCCTCACCATACTTAAGTTCTTGGTCTCTTGTTTATCCTCATAGCATCCACTTGGGATAAGAGAACTGCATCTTTGTCTTTCATGAAACAAAAATTCCAAAACTCACTGGACCTCCGGCGACTTGGACGCTCTCGCCGGCTTCAATGTGAACGCACAGTTAGGGAAAAATATTAAATATAGAGGAAACAAAAGAGTGAAAAACCAAGAGAAACAACAAATATAAGAAAGTTTTGTTTATATAATTTATGTTTTGTCGGTTTATGGCTAATTCGTATGAGTTTAGTCCTAAACCAATGACTGTAAAAAATATGGACGACGCGACAGCCCCTTTTCCCATTGAACGCCTTGAGGGCAAAACGCCTGCTTGACGGGCACAAACTGTCGCAAAAGACTGCTGAAATTGGAGCCTGGACATGCGCAGAAGGACTGTCTGATGGAGCCAGAGGAGGAGCCGCGAAAATGAGCAGAGTCGAGCTTCCAACCAAACGCTTTATGTAAAATCAACCACGCCCCCCGAACTGCTCAGCATGCGTTTGCTGTCATATCAACACAAATGGATGTAATAACGTTAACAAATATGAGGGTTTTTTATATTCAATCGCGCCAGCTCCGGGCCGCAGCGCATAACCTACTCGCGGCGTCGCGGGCTGATTCCGGCTCACATGCGGCAGCGCCGGCTCGTAGGTCCAGGCATCCGGAGTAGGTCCAGCAGAGGTAGTCAGTCTGAGCTCTGAGGGGTAAGTCTCCGGCAGGGGAGAATCTAGCCGGAACTGGCCCGAGTGTGTTTTGCTATCTGGGTGGTTAGGCGTGTATCAGCAAACTAATAAAGCCCGAAAAAAGCCCTGACCTTAGCGAATAAACAGTGTTCCACCAGATCATGTATGTCAGAAACTGTAGTTTACTGCTGAACTCATTTTGTCATGGTAAAATAACACAGAAATCGAATAATAACACTTCAGTCTCCTGCCGAAGCTCAGACGCGCTGCTTTGAGAAACTGTCAATCACAGCTGTCAATCACGATGACACGCCCAGCATTAAATTACTGCTAAAAACAAACTGTTTACACAAATGAAGATCTGCACCTATTTCAGCACAATAACCAGTGCCTTAATCCACCAGAACCATCTTTCGGGACATTTTATTGCAAGTGTAATAATTTTTTTTATTTGGGCTCAAGTCTCCTTCATTAACACGGAGGAGGCGGGCTTTATGACTTGTACTGCAGCCAGCCCCCAGGGGGCGATCTAACGGCTGAGACCTTCACTCAAACGCAGGCTTGCGGCACACTTGTCCTAAACCCAAGCGTCATGGGGGATGAGCAAATCATACAGAAGTGGAAATGCACAGCAACACTCCGATCACACGGCGATCACTCGAAGTAGAAGCATAAACCGATCTTAAGAGGTTTTGTTTTCCAACAAGATTACACTGATGCAGGTAAACAGCCAATAAATACATCTGGAAATAAAAGATTTGCATGACACTAATGCAGTAATGCAGCAATGAGAATTGACGGTCGCTTGACATGAAATGAATTTGTCAAACAGAAAATAAGCTGTCAGACACACTGAATGTTTCTGCTCAAAGTAATTCTGTGCAGTTCTTCTCAGTTGTCTCTGCGGTGGCAGCTGGAGAAACGAACCAGCAGAAATCTGTGAGACAGAAGCGCAGAGATGTTCACAACTAGACAACGAAGTTGAGAAAGTCTGAAAGAAACGTCCGTCTATCATAGAGTCATGATCCGCTACGGCTCTGCTGCTGCTGTTTGTTAAGATTTCATTATTGTCAGTGGAGTTCAGACCTGCTGATATGTGTGTGTGTGTGTGTGTGTGTGTGTGTGTGTGTGTGTGTGTGTGTGTGTGTTTGAAAAATGTATATTTGTATTAATAATTCACCTAAAACCCTGCATAAGCTCACAGTCAAATATGTACACAAATGCACACACACACACAAAACACACACACACACGCACTCACTCATACAAACACACTCACGTACATTCAGACACTCACTCAAAAAACACACACACTCACTCAGGTGCACACCCATATTTACTCACATACAAATGCATATGCACACAGACACACACACACACACACTTATGCATGCACAAATACCTGCACTTACTTACAAACACACACACACTAAAAATATACATGTACACTGATGCAGATGCACACTTGCTCACACAAACACACACTCACGCAGGCACACACAACCACACTCACTCATTGCTATTCCAGCATATACACCACGGATGCCCTTCCAGCTGCAACCCAGAACTGGAAAACACCCATGCAAACTCATTCACACACACACACACACACACACACACAATCATTTACTACAGCCAATGTAGTTAATCAGTTCCCCTATAGCGCATGTGTTTGGACTGTGGGGGAAACCGGAGCACTCGGTGGAAGCCCACGCCAACATGGGGAGAACATGCAAACTCCACACAGAAACACCAACTGACCCAGCCGGGGCTCAAACCAGGACTTCTTGCTGTGAGGCCACAGTGCCACCCCTGATTGTATATTATGATATTATTTTAATTATATTATGCAGTTAATAGAAAGTGTCACCAGGGTCATGGAAAAACAGAGTATCTTAACAAATCAATCACATTAGTTTGGAGGCGGGGCTTTCTGTCTGACTGACCAATGGCTGCTCAAAGATGCTGATTATTTAGCATTTCTCTTCAGTGGCTCGGTTTAGCTTTAACAATAAAAAGATCTGATGTATATCGTATTATTAGCGCTGATCTCCTGCACATGATTGTGTCTGTTGATGCTGTGAGCTTGTATTGAGACGCGCTGCACTTATGTCAGATTATTATTTACTCAATCTATGATCTGCTTTCATCTTCTGCGACCGTAGGATGATCACAAAGCAAAGCCGTCGTCATGGAAACCACAATTTAGCGCCTGGCTTTTATGTGTATGGAATGCTTTTTTAGGAGTAATGGTTTGGCTAAAGATTCGTTACCAAGACGATTCATTTGAAGTTGACTCTTTTATAGATGAATCAATAGTTTTAAACACTGTGCACTTTCACATTTAAGCCTCAGCTGGATATTTCACTTCACTCATGGCTGTGTTACACACTTCATGGAAGCTCATTTACAAAAGCCCACAATAGGGGCTCTTTAAAAGCTGTTTTTTTATACTATGATAACATTACATTTAAAAAAATCTTTTTATTTGTAAAGTGCATTCTTTATGCTGTTATACTGTTTTCTGAAATTTCAAAAATCTAAGTAATAAATAAAATAGCTTTTAAATATTAATTATCTAATTTTTTTAAATTCATTTATTTACTCATTTTCTTGTCGGCTTAGTCCCTTTATTAATCTGGGGTCGCCACAGTGGAATGAACCGCCAACTTTTCCAGCACATGTTTTACACAGCAGATGCCCTTCCAGCTGCAGCCCATCTCTGGAAAACATCCATACACACCCATCCACACTCATACCCTACAGACAATTTAGCTTACCCAATTCACCTGTACTGCATGTCTTTGGACAGTGGGGAAAACCAGAGCACCAAGAGGAAACACATGCGAACGCAGCGAGAACATGCAAACTCCACACATAAAAGCCAACTTACTTGCTGAGGCTCGAACCAGCGACCTTCTTGCTGTGAGGTGTCACAACCACCTACTGCGCCACCTTATTTTTATTATATTATTACTTATTTTTTATATTTTTATTATATTAATTATTAAAAATATGTTATATAAATTTTTTTGTATTTTTTATCATTTTATTTTTTTTGCATTTTTATAATATATATATATATATATATATATATATATATATATATATATATATATATATAT